TATAGCTTTTGTTTATTTAAATTTTTTATATATTTATATTTTATTTTCTTTATTATATTTATAATTAATATATATATTGATATATTTTATAATTTAATATAATATTTATTATATATATATTTCTATTTTCTTTTATTATTAAATTTTTTATTTATTTCATATATATGAAGAAATATTATTATTATATTTTTATTTATATAGAATATATATATATTATTATAAAAAATATAATTTTTTTTATTCGCAATTCATGAAAGAATAAATTTTGTATATTTTTATATAAATCTTATTTTTTACATTTTTATATGTAGATTTTTTTTGTTACTATTAATTATTTATAATAATTGTAATTTACTAATAATTATTATTACTAGCCATTAACTATTATCGTTATCTATGATTATTATAATTATTATTCATTATTATATATTACTATTATTATTATTTATTTATAACTCTTTTTTCAATTTATTATAATTATTATTTATTGTATATGACATTATTATCATTTTATAAATGAACACTATAACTTTTATTACTATATATTATTTATATATTCTTTTTACTATTTATTTTTTATTTTTATTACTATTCATTATCCTTGAGTATATATATTGTGTATAAAATTACTATTATCTTTATATATATAAAATATTTTTTTATTATATTTTTTTATATTATATGAAGTTTTTATATTTTTATATTACCATTTTTTATTGTTTATATTGTTTATTTTTCTTTTTTATGTATATAATTATTTATAAAAAATAAATCTATTATATTATTATAAATATTTTTTATTATTATTTTACTTTTATAAATTTATATACTTTTTATATATAAATTTTTCTACTTTTAAAATATTTTTGTATTTTTTAGGTTTTTAATAAGTTTATTATTATTAAACTTTTATTAATATTTCTTATTTTATTTATGTTATGATGATGTAAGTTTTATATATAAATTTTTTTATTACTTTTTATACATAATCTATATTTTATTAAAAATAATATGATTAACTATATTTTTTTTAATAATTGTTAATTTTAAGTTTCATATATTTTATATCCTTATTATTTAATATATTATTTATATAAAGTTTATATAATTTTTGTATATATAATTTTTTTATTACCTTTTTTATCATAAAATTTTATTATATTATAAATTTTTTCTTATATTTGAATTATTAATGTTATGTATTATACATTTTTTATTATTTAACTTTTTTTATACTTCTAATATTTTCAATTATATTTGTATACTTTTTATATATCAAGCTTTTTGTTTACAAAATTTTTATATATTTAAATTATTTTATTATTACTATATCAAATTTATATACTTTTGGTAAATAAAACTTTTAATTACATTTATTTTTATAATAATTTAAATAAATTTAAAATTTTATTATTATTTTTTGTTAGGCGCATTTGTATTTGTTCTGGGTTATAGTTTTTTTTAATTTTTATTGGTTTCAGCGGTTGACGCACATGTCGGAAAACATATTTTTAATGAAGTGCTTGGCCCAAAGGGATTGTTAAGGAATGATATTAGAATTTTAGGTTTCTTTATTATTATTATTACTCATTATAATCTAAATTTTTATTAAATTGTTATTATAAAAAAATTGTTAATTTTTTCCTTCAAAATAAATAAAATAAAATAAAATATAAATAATAAATATCACAAAGAGAATTATGAAAGTTTCTTATTTTTTTTAATACAAAACATTTTTTTAGTGACTCACAAAATTGATATACTAAACATGTGCGACTATATTTATACGATGCTTAATGGAGAAATCAAAGAAGAGGGAACGTTTGAAACTTTAAAAAAAAAAGGAGGTCGTCTTCTTTTCTATTGAAATTTGTTTTTTTCCCCTTTTTTTTTGTTATTATTATTATATTTATTATTATGATTATAATTTTATTTTTTATTTTATTAAAAAAAATTATCTAATAGTATTTATATTATATGAAACTTTTATCTTATTATATCAAATTCATACTTTTTATAAATATTTATTAAACTTTTTATGAATATTTTTATTTAGTACTTTGCATATTATATATAAAAACTATTAAAATATTCCATATTCTATAGAATATTTTTATTCTTTTATAATTTTGGAAAATTTTATATTTTATTTACTTTATAACTATAGTAAATATTTATTACTATATTTTATTAATTTTTTCTTTACATTTTTTTTACTGCTTTTAGATATTAATTTACTTTTTATTTATTTATTACTAGTACATAAATTTTCCTAATTCTTATATATATAAAAAGTATTGAAATATTTTTTTAATAAACAAAATATTTTTATTTTTTATAAATTTTAAAAGGTTTTTAATATTTTATTTATTTTAATACGTTTTATAAATATTTATTACTAATTTTTATTAGTTATATATAACTTTTTTATTGCCTTTATTATTTTACTTTTATTTACTATTATTATAATTATATTTTAACAAAATATCTTTTTGTTTTTATAAATCATGAAAAGTTTTTAATATTTCATTTACTTCAATACTTCTATAAATATTTATTACTAAGTTTTATTAGTTATATATTTAGTTTTTATTTATTTTATTATTGCTATAATTATTTATATATTTATTATATTTAAAAAGTTTTAATTACTTTATTTTACTTTGTTTAATATTAATATTATAATTAAACTTTTATTGCTGTTTTATATTACTTTATCAGATTTTTATAAAACTTTAAAAATTCTATTTTTATATACTTTTTATAAATAATTACTATTATATATATATAATAATAAAGTTTTAAATATTTTACTTTTAAATTCACTACTTTCCTGAAATTTTTTATTATATAAAACTTTTTAACTGCTTTATGTCAGTGAACATCTTTTGGGTTGATTTTTATTATTATTTATTTATTATTATATCGTTTTATTTATATTAAGCTTTTTATAATTATTATTATAATTATTAATATATTATATCGTTTATTTATTTTTAACTTATTAATACTATTATATATAACTTTCTTTATTATTATTATTTTGTTTATTTTATTCATCTTTTTATAATTACTATTAATATAATTATTTTTTATTTAATTTAACTTTTTATAATTACTTTCATTATATATATATTAACATTTTCTTTTATATATGTTCAACTTTTTAAAATTACTATTATATTTATTTTATTTTTTATATTATTTTATTTATATTGAACTTTATATTATTTTTATTATATTATTTATTATTATGTCATTATCTAGTTTAACTTATTATCACGGTAATCATTTAATAAATTATTATAAAGTTTATTTATTTTTAACTTATTATTATTACTATTATCTATATCCTTCCTTTATTTTTAACTTTTTTTTTAATACTATTATTATATTTATTTGTAAATTGTTTTATTTAAATTTAACTTATTATATTTATTTCAATTTTAATTTATCGTTTATTTATTTTAACTTTTATTAATTATTATTATTTATTTTATTAATATATTATTAAATCATTTATTTTTTTTAACTGGCTATTATTATATCGTTTATTTAATTTTAAACTTATTTTGGTTACTCTTATTATATTTATTTATTATTTTATTTATATCATTATTGTATTTATTTATTTATCTTTCACTGACTATTAATACTATTATTAGATTTTTTTTGAATAATTAATTATTATTTTCTTTTTTAACTTTAACTTATTGTTATTACTATAGTTATATTTTATATATTTTTTTGTTTCTATTCAACTTATTATATTTATTTTACTTTTCTTTTGTTTTATATATTCATTTATTTATTAAACTTTTATGAATTTTGTAATAATACATAAAATATTCAGGCGTCTTCTCTGCGTTTATAGCCGAGCATATGAAGGAGTCGGACGAGCAGTCTAACGAGGTTTTTCTATACTTTCCTTTTATTTTTAAAGTAACAATACTGTTTCTTTATATATTATACTAATTAATATAATATTAATTATAATGATTGTTATTTTTACTTAATAATAAAAAAAAAGTTTTTATAAATTTTTACTTATATTAATATAAAATTAATTATAATGATTGTTATTTTCAAAAATAATATTAATAACTTTTTTATGTTTTATATTTATTTAAATGTAATACTTAATTATTGTATAAATATTTTCATAATAAAAAAATTTTTTTATTTTGTTTTTTATCATAATATTAAGAGTAATTGTTATTTTAATATAATAATAATAACTTTTTCTATAAATTTTATTTATATTACTATAATATTAATTATAATGATAAATAGTTTCAATAATAATTTTAATTTATATAAATATTTTTTTACATGTAATTATAAATTATTTATTGCAATTCTTTATTACTATTATATATATATATATTTGTCATCATTTTCTTTTAGTATAAAATTCGTATTTATATTTTATTAGAAAATTTTTTTTAAAAGTTTTTGTAAAATATTTTTATATATTATTGAAATTTTTAAAAATATTTATTTAATTATATAATTTCTATTAAAAAATTATTACTATTTAATAAAAATAAATTTAATTTTTTTAATTCAATAATTTATAGTAATAATAAAAATAACTTTTTTTAATATATTTTACTTCAATATCAATAGGAACTGTTATTAATATATAACGAATAATATAATTAATAACTTTCTGATTAAAACTATTATATTGATGATTATAAATTTAAATTAACGATTTTTTATTTTATATAGAATAACATAAATAGTAATGAATAAAAAATAATACTATTTTTATTTTTTTTAGGTTTTTTTAATTTAATTATAATAATAAATTTTTAATTTTTTTTGTATTATAATGTTTTATATATATTAATAGTTCTGATTGTTATTATATAATTCATAATAATAAATAGAACAATTTTTTTATTTTTCCGATATTTATATATTTTATTATGATATAAACAATATTACTCGTTTGTCATTATAATAATTTGTTTTATTTTTTCTGTTCTTTATATGTTTTACTATAATAATACTTGTACTGTTTGTTATTTTATTTATAAAAGTAATAATAACTTTTTTTTTAATCAGCAAAGTTTCACCAATGTTCGTGAGGGCGTGGTGGAAACTACTGAGGTTTAGATATGCTTGATATATTTTTTATTTATTTAGTACTATCCAAAATATTTATGATATATAGAAAAACATAAGAAAGTTATCAAAAACTTCATTAAAAAGTATGAAAAGTATTGAGGCGGGGGAACTACCAAATGGTAGCTTTTTATTAGAATTATTATCATTATCATTATTATATTATTATTCTTATCTTTTGATATTTGTATAATATTTTTATAAAGTATTGATTATTTTTTTTTAAATCTCTTTCTATAATTTTATATTAAATTTTATATATTATTATCATCTTATTTTTTATTTTTATATATAAAAATTACTAAATTTTCAGTAACTTTTTACTATAAATTATTCTTATAATAAACTAAAATAAAAAGAAATAAAAAGGCGATTACAACTAGTATTTAAAAAACTTTCATTAAAACTACACATAATTAGTATTTTAAAAGCATTTTATTAATTTTTTTTACTTTATGAAAGTTTTTATTTATTATAAAAAAGTTTCTTTTTAATTAACATTATTAATATAAATATAAAATATTATATATTTTATATTTATATTAAAACTTTTATTAATTCTATTTTTAATAATATAATTTCGTATTATTATTTTTACTATAATTTCTGAAGCGCAACAACGCAAAGGAATTCTTGTAGTCGAAGAAAATGTTGAGCAGGGCGATATCAAGCTCGCCGTGTTCGTAATATACTGCCGTGCCATCGGCTGGTCAATATTATTGGTGCATAAAATAGCGCGATTTAGATTTATTATTTACCCTTTTATTTTAATCTTCCAAATTGAATTTTTACAATTTTTTAGGATTACAATACTTTTAGTGATCTCTATATTTTTTATTGGTCAAGGATTTCAGATATATACAAATATCTGGTACTTTTTAATCATTATTTTGGCTCCATTATTCTTGCACATGGAAATTTGTGGTGATTTAGGCTATCCCGGTGGTCCTCTGCAGGAGCGAATGCTTCTAAAGATATATCCTATTGGCTGGGCGTCTATACTGCCTTAGGATTGGGTACTACTTTATTTTAATTATTATCCCCATTTTAATGAATTTATTAGTTTCATTACTTCTTTATTTTTTATTTTTTTTTACATTGAAATAGTTTTTATATTCATTATTTTTTCTTATTTCCATTATTATTATTTTTTATGAATTTTTTTTATGATTAATAATTTTCTTGGGTATTTAGCCTATTCGCTCAGTAACATGCTAACTTCTTTTTCATTGGCTTTTGGAAGTATTCATGCCTCAAAAAACTTACACGAAACCGTTGGTTATTCCTTATTTTTTTCTTATTATAAATATTTGTCATTATTATAAATGTTTTTATTATTTATTCATTATTATTTATTATTAGTCAAACGCTTATTGAAAGCGCCTTTATCTTTCTTTGATACGACGCTTTTAGGTTGGAATTATTATCATGATTATTATTGATATTATAATTGTACTCAATTAGTAACTTTGAGTATACATAGTTTTTGAGTTTTTGAGTACCACGTGGCTCCTTTCTGTTGGGGGCCACTTAAAATTCAGCTAAAAAACCTCTTTTCATTATGAACGATGAAAAGTAAATTGTATTTTTTTGTTATTACAAAGAAGCCCCCATAAGTTTTACTATTGAAAATTTTCAATTTTATAAAATTTTTTTTTTCCTATTTTTATCAAAGTTTTTTATAATTGCTCTTTTCGCACATTAAAATAAAGGGCGGATCGTCAATCGCCTTTCGAAAGATATTTATACTATTGATGAGGCTTTACCGAATTCTTTAAAGTCTTTTCTTAATACGTTCTTTTCTGTTTTGGGTATTTATTATTATTATTATTATTATTATTATTATTATTATTATTATTATTATTATTATTATTATTATTATTATTATTATTATTATCACAATTATTGCTATGATTATTATTTATTATTATTTAGGAACCATATTTATTATTGCTTTTGCTACTCCAAAGTTTCTCATTATTGTTCTTCCACTTCTTCTCTTATATATTGTGATTCAACGATTTTATGTTTCTTCTTCAAGACAAGTAAGTTTTAATATATAACTTTCATTATTTTTTAAGACATTGCTTAACGAAAAAATATTTTCAAGCTTAAAAGACTCGAATCAGTGAGCCGTTCACCTATTTTTGCTCATTTTCAAGAAACCAATCACGGCGTTTTTATATTATTATTACTTTATATTTTTATAAAAATATTTTTTTTGTCATAAATATTTTGTTAAGAAAAAATGAAATTTATTATGAAAAATATGAAATATTTTTAGTAAGAAACTAAAATTATATAAATAAATTTTATAGTAAAAATTAATAAATTATATTTTTTGTATAACTTTTTATAATAATGAATAAAAAACTTTTAAGAATAATTTTTTTAATAAATTTTTTATTTATTAGAAAAAAGGATTTTTTTTAAAATAAAAATTGATGCAGAATTATATTATTTATTATTATTATTACTTTTTATTAATACTTTCACTATAACGTTGAAAAAGTTATAAATATTTTATATATATATTTATTACTATCTTACTTTTATTTTAATATCAATTCACGTTAAACTTCTAGTTTACTTCATTTTATTAGTAAATTTTTATTTTTATTATAATTATATAATAATTAATATTCACTTTTTAAAAAAATCACAACTATTAAAAAAGTTTTTATAGAACCGCATTTTTTTAAAGCTGCCTTCAATGTTAGAACTTGTATTATTTTTTATTGTAAATTTTTCAATAAGTAGGGATTAAATAGTGAATGGATAAAAATAAATTATAAATATAAATTCTATATAAAAATAAATACAATATATAGTAATTACTAATAATATTTATATAATTATAAAATTTTTTTAAAAAAATACAGAAATATAAAAAATAATAAAAACTGTGAAATAAATTTTTTTACTACAAAAATTATAGTGAATTCAAGAAGACTATAAATAGAGAATATATAAATTAAAAAATAATAATATAATCAGCCTTTAACTTTTAGTTGTTGATTTTAAAAAGAAATAAAAGAAAACTAAAACAGTTTTAGATATAATTTTTTTTAAAGGATATAATAAAAATAGTAAAAAAATAAAACTATTATATAAATTTTTTGTTTTATAATAATTTAATTATTTTTATATACAAATTATTAATCTTTATATAAATATTATTAATTATTATTAACTAATATTATTATTTTTTTTTATTTTATTATCTATTATTATTATTTCCTTTATTATCTTTATATAAATATTATTAATTATTATTTACTTATATTATTATTTTTTATTTTATTCTCTGATTATTATTATTTCCTTTATTATCTTTATATAAATATTATTAATTATTATTAACTAATATTATTATTATTTATTTGATTATCTATTATTATTAATTTTTTTATTATTCGTTAACATTAGTATTTTTAAAACTATTTATTATAATATTTTATTTTATTATTTTTATAATTATTTATTATTTTTTTTTGTTATTATTTATTATTATCTTTTATATTATTATAAAAGGTTTCATTTTTATATACTATTATTAATCTTTATTCATTATTCTATTAATTATTACTCTTAACTGATAGTATTATATTTTATTTTTTTTATTTATTATTATTATTTATTTATCATTATAAAAGGTAAGCACTATTAGAGCGTACGGCCGGGAGGAACGCTTCATTAAAGGTTTCTTTTTGCTAAGACTTTTAATATCTATACTTCATTACTTTTTATGTTTTTTATTATTTTATTTTTTATTTAAATAATTTAATAATAAAAAATTTATTTATTTTGTATATCATTAATTTTTTATATATATTATAATATTTTTACTGTTTATTATTACTTTTTTATAGTATTATAATATTTTTTTTGTTTATACTTTTCTTTTTATTTTTTTTATTTAATTTTTATTACTACATATAAAGAAAACATTGCCGTGTTGGAGTACAACCAGCGCTCTTATTATCCGTCTATCTCTTCTAACAGGCTTCACATTATTATTATTATTTTTATTATTATTATTATTATTATTATTATTATTATTATTATTATTATTATTATTATTATTATTATTATTATTATTATTATTATTACTATTGTTTTTGTTATTATTATTATTATTGTTATTGTTATTATTATTATTATAATCATTATTATTAGATGGCTAGCAATCAGACTTGAAAGTATTGGTAACATGGTTGTGTTTTTTGCTTCCTTATTTGGTATTATTATTATTATTGTTATTATTATTATTATTATTATTATTCTTATTATTATTATTATTATTATTATTATTATTATTATTATTATTATTATTATTATTATTATTATTATTATTATTATTATTATTATTATTATAATCATTATTATTTCTGTTATTATTTTTTATTATTATTAGCCGTTGTATCGAGGAACAGCATTTCCTCTGCTCTGGTTGGTTTATCGCTCTCGCATGCGATGAATATAACGCAATCACTTAATTGGATGGTGAGAATGTCGAGGTTTAGTATTTTTACTTTTTTATTATAAATTCTTTATATCGTTGGGTTTATTCAGTTCGTTATTTTTAATGAATTTGAATATTTCATTTGTTAATTTTTGTTATTAATATTTTTTTTAAACCGTCAATTCTTAATTTTATTGGTATATTAAAGTTCATTTGCTTTTAATAATTTTTTTATTTAAATTTTTTTTCCGTAACTTTTTATAATTTTTTTGACCATCAGTTTTTTGTAATTGGCCTTCATAATATTTAATAATGATCCATTATTAATATCACTTTTCCTTATTTTTTTGGCTTTTTTGAGTTTACTAATTTTGATGAATTTTAATATTCCAATTTTTAATGTAATATTATTTTTTCACTTGACTTTTTTAGTTCATTATTATTTATAAATTTATATAATTTTTTTATTTAAAATAATTATTTTGAATATTACGTAATTATTATATTTTTCAATTATAATAGTGAATGCGAAACTAATATTGTTGCAGTGGAACGAATTGATGAGTACACTAAAATACCGCAGGAACGCGAAGAAGAAAGTAAAAAAAAAGCTTTCATTATATATATTAAAAAAAATACCAAAAAAGTAAATAAGTGCGGAATGTGTTTATCTGCACCCATTTTTATACAATTTGGCGCTATTTATTTACCAATAACTTTAAAGTAACGTTTTTTTATACATATTTTTATACTTTTCACCAAATTATAATAAAGAATATATAAAAAATTGTTCATTAAAAAATTTGCATTTACTAATTTACTATTAATGCTTGCTTATAATAATAAGTTAAAGAATGATACAAGATGTAATAAAAATATTTACAGTTACCATAAAATAATGAATATTTTAGTGTTTAAAAAAATATTGTATAATGCAATATATAAATATAATATCATATAATTTACTGAATTTACGGGAGCAATTTATATATTTTTTTAAAAAAAAATTATGAAAATTTTTAACCATTAAAAAGTTTTTATTATATCAAAAATAAAATATTATATTTATAGTGAAAGTGGAATGGTTTTTATAATAATAATAATATTATTATTATTACTATTATTATATTGTTTTATAGTTTTTAACATTTTTTTATTTATACAGAAGACGATTTAGAAGGCATTTCTTCGGACACTGATAAAGGTGTTTAATCGTATTAATAATAATAATAGTAATAATAAAACTAGTAATAATAATTTTGTGCTTATATATATTTTACTGTAACTACATAAAAAATTTATATAATTTAAGTTATTTATTTATTTTTTTATACTTGTATTCATATAGTTAAATGATAACCATATAAAAGTTTATTTGTTACGTATTACTATTTATTATTATTATTATTATTATTATTATTATTATTATTATTATTATTATTATTATTATTATTATAAATCAATACTATTTTTTTCATCTTATATTTTTATAATATAACCAAACAGTAACTTTAGCAACTCTAAGTAGCACAGACACGTGGCCTTCGCACGGCGTGGTTGAATTTAAAAACTACAGCGCGAGGCACGAATTATTATTATTATTATCCTTTTCTTTTTAGATTATATATTATTTTATAAAATAAAAAAAAATTTATTTTTTTATAAAAGCTTTTCTTTTTTTATTATTTATACATACTTTACAGATATCGTGAAGGCTTAAAACTTGTACTAGACAATATTTCCTTTATTATAAAAAGTGGTGAAAAAGTTGGGGTTGTGGGCCGTACAGGTTATTATTATTATCATTATTGTTATATTATGATAATAGAATGCAAAAGATATATTTAGTGAAGATATTGCTGAATAAAAATATATAATAAAAATAAAAGTTTTATAATATAAATAATATATAAAAAAAATAAAATGTTTTTTTAAATATTAATAAATGTTAATAAATATATATTATATTGAAAGAAATAAAAAAGTTTATTATTATTATTAATATTATTATTATTTGAGGCGCTGGAAAATCAAGTTTAACTTTATCTCTTTTCCGTATTATTGAACCTTTTTCCGGCTGTATCGAAATTGATGGCGTGAATATCCAAAATGTTTTTTACTTTATTATAATAATAATAATAATAATTATAATAACAATAAAAATGATAATAATGATTATAATGTTAACAATAATAATCTCAGGTTTCTTTATTTACTCTTCGCTCCAGCCTTTCAATAATTCCGCAGGATCCAGTAATATTTTTCGGTACAGTTCGTTCGAACCTTGATCCCTTCTCATTGGTCAATATTATTATTAGCATTTATTGTTATATTATTATTATTATTATTATTATTATTATTATTATTATTATTATTATTATTATTATTATTATTATTATTATTATTATTATTATATTATTATTATTATTATTATTATTATTGTTATTATTGCTACTGTTGTCGTTTTTATATTAAATTTTCTGTAGTACACCGATTCTCAAATTTGGGCTGCATTAGAGTATTGTCATTTGAAAAACTTTGTGAAAGGCAAACAATAATTATTCATTTTTTTTACTAATACGTAAAGTAATGATAAAAATAATAAATAGTATTTATAATAATAATACTAATAATACTAACAATAATAATAATATTGATAATAATAATAATAATAATAACAATCAGGTTTAGACAAACAACTCGATCATGAAATTTTAGAAGGAGGCAGTAATTTTAGTGTTGGCCAACGGCAACTCATTTGTTTAGGTTTAGTACTATTTATATTATTATTATTATTATTATTATTATTATTATTATTATTATTATTATTATTATTATTATTATTACTATTATTATTACTATTATTGTTATTTTTAATAATTATTTCTTTTGTAATTATTAATTATTATAATTTTAGTTATTTTTTATTTTAATTTATTAATAGTAATTAACTTTTTTATCAGTAATTTTTATTATTATTATTTAGGGCGCGCTCTTTTAAGAAAAACAAAAATATTAATACTTGACGAGGCAACAGCAGCAGTCGATCTAGATACAGACAAGTTTTATTAATATTAATAATAATAATAATAATATTATTATTATTATTGTTACTGTTTTTATTTTGATAATGCTTATTAGGCTAATTCAAGAAACTATTCGTTCTGAATTTCGCAGCTGCACTATTTTAACTATTGCTCACCGCATTAATACCATACTCGATAATGACAAGTATTATTAATATTAATATTAATGTTAATATCGATATTAATATTATTATTGTTGTTGTTATTGTTATTGTTATTATATTATATTATTAAAAATTAAATATACTATTTTACTTTTTTTAAAAACTTTTTATTAATTTTTATTATTATAATATTTATATAATTTTCAGATTTCCTAATAATTATATTTTATTTTTCTTTTAATGATTTTGATAATTAAAACTTTTTTTAGAATTTCCTTTATTATTCTTATTCGTATTATTATTATTATTATTATTATTATTATTATTATTATTATTATTATTATTATTATTATTATTATTATTATTATGTCACCTCTTTGTAGTTCTATTTTTTTTTCAAATGTTTATATGATAATTCTATTTTCTTCTGACCTATCAGAGTTCTCGTATTAGAAAATGGACGAGTAAAAGAGTTTGATTCGCCATCTGTACTTTTGAATGAACCTAGTAGTCTCTTCTATGGTTTGGCCAAGGAATCCAATCTGGTTTCTTAGCACACCTCTGCTTGCCAATCAGCAAGAAATATCGTTATTTATAAGTAATGTGTGCGGTTCCACTTTTTCAAGTATAATTTTTTATAATAAAAATTTCTTTTTATTTATATTTCTTTATTGTTTACTTGTTGATAACTATCTGCTGATAAAATTAAAAAAAAAATTTAACAATTATTAAAGAAAGCCGAACTTTTCTCGTTAATACGCCAATCACCATTCTTGGTTAAACTTTTTTAGTTATTTTAAATTAAATTTAACTTCGCTTAAGTCCTCATTAGCTTTGCAAAATTTTAATGATTCACTTTTGAGCAAGTTCAGGAATTTAGTGACTGATAAACTGTAAATAAAAATCGTTGACAATTCTTTTTTAATTTTCATTTTAACTTATATATGTTTTTTCTAAAAATTGAATATATTTTATTAACAGTTGTAATAAAAAATTGTATGAAAAGTTCAGAAGTAAGGAATCGTAAAATGATATTTATTGAAGCATAAATTGTGTATATATTTACAACCAAAGGGAAACGTTATAATATTAACCACTGTTATTTTTATGTACTGTAAATTCTCACATTTATATAATAAATTTATGGTTATATCACAAAATTTACAAAAACTTATGTAATCAGAAATTAGAGTTTTTTCAATATATAAAAAAGTTTTTTGAAAATAAGAAGAATTTTAAAAGATTCGTTATTTTTATCATAACTATAATACTTGCTTATTTCGTAATTATTAGTAAGTTTTATATAAACTATTTCCTTAAAAGCGAGAGAGTAAAAAAAAAAAAATTATAGAATTATTCTTTAAAAATATGCACACTTTTGCATAATGATAAAAATTTAATAAGAAAAAAAGAAAACTTTTTAAATTAATTAAAAATAAATTATACGCATAAGAATTGCTTAAAGTAATATATAAGTAATGGTAGTTTTTATATTATATAAAAATTATTATTACAATATTTAAAGATAATATTTATCAAAAAAAAAAAATTAAAAAAACTTAAACCTTTTCAAGTAACCAGTAGCAATGATTTTTCCTTACGTCCAGGAAAAGGACACGTGCGAAATCCTAGTTGCAGATTACCATAATTAGTTAATTTATTTATGACTATACGAATTAACTGCAAGCCCAGTCTCCCTTCTCGTCTTCTGGGTGCATTTGCAGAATACTTCAGTAAAACTGCTATCTTTTTATATTAACTTTATTATTGTAAGCGTCACAGCTAACTCGAGAGACTGCTACCCGAGTGATGGCTTTAGCTACAAATTTACTTTTTTTAATTCGCTCAAGGTCTTAACACAGGCAATATTTATTAAAAATTTCGCTCGGTAACATTCTATTAAACCTTAAAAGATAGTTGCTAATATTAGTAAATAATCTATCTTCAGGCTTTAGGATTACTTAAAACAAAATTTTCATATTTAAATGAAAAGAGAAGATAGGAAAAAAGGAATAAGGAAAAAAATTTGTAATAGGAAGGAATGGCCGGGCGCGGTTTAAGTGGTAGCACGTGCCAATCATTGCCCATACGACTATGCAAGATACAAAATTGTCACGTTCCACTACAGGCTTTTAGTAATATGACCGACACTTAATCATTTTCTTGATAAGGTACGTGCGCCCTAACTCTTTCTCTTACGGAAGATTCTTTGTGATCCTTTTAGGATTCTAGAAAGGAGTCATGGTATTGTAATGTTGCGATATATCTAGTTAGGGCCAACGTGATAGATCCTAATAGTCAGTCAAAGTAAACTTGGGCCTTAACTATGTAGAAGGATTGCTATACTTTTGGACAGCACGAATATAATTAGAATTACGATTGTTATATATTTATTGGGGAATTTATCATATTAAAGAATAATTTGGTGCTAATAATGGAAGTTGTATTGTGAAGACAATATTTTTACCTCCAATAGATTTTATGGTTAAAAATTTATTTTAAAATAACAACTAACAATTTTCTATTAATACTGTTTTAACGGACTAATTACAATAGTTTAAGACTTTGAAATGCATTTGTAACTTAACTATAAAGAGTAGCACTGGCGAAATGCACTTTAACCCGTTCGATATAAGAAGTCAAACCTCCAAGAACTTGGTTAGTACTGTGGTGGGAGACCAGTAAAAACCTCCCATGCCCTTTCCCCCTAGCAAATAGGAACATTCATGATGCTCCTCCTGGAGATGTACGGCCGCCTACTTGCGCCTAAATGAAGACTATGCAGTCTGCACTCAACTTACCGAGCATTTGCGAAAGTCCTTGATAAATAAATAAACCCATCTAGTCGAGCAGGCCTTGGCTAGCGCTTTGCTGGCTGGTCTACCATTCAAAGGTTACCTATCTATGTGGCGGTTTCTAACGGATTTCCACTACTTTAAACCAAATGACGGGAATCCTGGCCAGATTTTTCTCCTCTATCCCAGTCCTTCAGGACTGTCATGATACTCCTTCAGGAGAATGCACTGATTGGTATTCATGCTTTCAATCCCTTTTGGAGGGGGGGGAATCAGATGAAGCGGTTCAAAGTTCACTCTCGGCGTTTTTATCTACTTTCATTTTTTTACTTTTCTTATTGCGTCCTTTCACTAATCAAGTCCCTTTCAACCATACCATTAAAAACCAGTTTATAACAATTATTAAGAGTATCGGTAGGTTTGCGATGCATTTACACCTGAGGCTGCACTTGAGAAGCTGTTAATAAGCACTACTAAACGTAACTATGCCCTAGGTATTTTGTTAGATTTTCAAAAGAGTTGAATCCCTTAATTTAACCTAAAAACAGTGCATAATCCTTAGCTTTGAAAAATAAACAGTAAACTTATTTAGTTGACAGTCCTTACACGAGGAGACCTGCTAAATAACTAAAGATATTGTTACGATAATTAAAGATTGAGACAAGGTAATAGTGCGTTTGGGAAATTAACTCAGTACCTCTCATCTTGGGCAGTGAACTTGCTAATGACATATACGAGCCCAAGCAACCAATTGTTGGGAGAAGCTATCTTATATTGCGTGTTCTTCATTAATAGGAGCAAGAAGAATTATAAATATTGTTAAACAAGAATATAAAAGTTTTATTACTAAACTATGCATTACAAGTAACAAAAGTTGGTAATTAGGCCTACAAAGTAATTATAATTAAAAAATTTACAAAAAACCTTAAAAAACCGTTGTTAACTTTAGGTTGGAACAAAAATTGAGGTGCAGTTTAATATAATGATACATCCCTTCGCCCTAACAACCGCTGCTACTCGTAGTCTGGCAGGAATGGGTTACTGCTAAAGATTTTTAAGACCGGTATAAATTAAGTTCAGTTTGCCAATTTTAACTTTATATTTAAAATTGTTCTCTGAGGGATATTAATTAGTTGCTGCTAATGTTATCTGCCAGAGTGTTTCAATTTTATGGAGGTCTGGGTTACTAGAAAGCCAGGATAAAACTGTTCTCCTCTTCTCCGAGAGCCATTTTTGTGTTGCCTTGGTTGAACGGCAAAAGGCTCCTATTGAAAAACAATTTTTTTCAGCACACATCTTGTTGATAGTCGGTAGAAAACTATTTATCATATTTTTAGATGTTTCTCTGCGTTATACCGTCGTATAATAAAAGTTGCCCAAGTCTTTTGCTCTCCCTCATCACCCCTTTTGAGAATTTCACGGTGCGTCTGATGTAGTCTGCATAAAAAGCTTCATTTTTGACCTGTTAACTCGTTTCCGGAGATCCCCTACAAGAAAATAAAGCTTTGATTCGTCACTGAAAATAATTTTTGCCTGTCCACAGTTCATAATAGTATATTTTTCGCCCATTCAGATCTATTTATTTTTGGTAATTGGTAAAAGGTGGTTTATCTTTAGCCTCCATGTAATAAAAAATTACTCTTAGATTATAAATGTACACAATATTTTTGCCATACTTAATATATAACTTTAAGCCATTTATCTGTAATCACTGTTTGCAGCATTCACGATATAGTAGTTTTAATCCTGACTCCTCGTTTCACTATGCCTAATGTCCCGTAACGTCTTCCATCGGCCTTTTTTATACATTTTTGAGATCGTAGTTTTTTTTATGAAACTTTTACCTTTAACCACAATATTTTCGGTATTGTTTAGGACCTGAAAAAAAGGGTTTATTTCGAAATATTTAGAAGATTCAGCAACCTGACGAACGGTATTACCTTGGCAATGTTATTTGACAAATATTTTACGCGCGTCCTTGTTGCTGCACCTCTAATCATTTTTATGGCTAAATATGACAGGTACTCCAATAACATATTTATAGCAAGTATTTATTCCTTGGTGCAATCAAGTAAAATACTTTGGCGTTATTAATGACTCTAGACTTACCTGGAAGCCACATATTAATTATCTTGTTTAATAAATTAAGAATATAACTGCTGCTTTATATCCTCTTATATGCAAAAGAAGCCATTTGAGTCTTTAAATTAACTTTATATATATAAAGCTATTATCAGACCTATTATTAGTTATGCACCTGCTCCATGGACTTATTGCTCGATTTTGCATTTGTACATACTTCAGCTTTCTTCATATATATTTCCTCAGAATGTTTACACGTGCATCTTGGTTTGAGCGAAATTATTGGCTACATCGTAAAATGTGATTTTCTTTCCCTTAACGGCGGGCTATTGAAGCTTTACTCAATATAAAAAACCACAACAATTTAATAACTCACGCCTTAAGCTCTACTCCGCACATTTTTAAATAAACGACTTAAACATTTTTTGGCGAGTATTCTAACGGCTTTAAAATATTTATCAGATGGTATAATTAATTTTAATATTGGAGGGAAAAAATGTTAAACACTAAAATTACAGGTACATCCTTGTCTTTATGTTATGAGAGAAGGCCCGAGAATCCTTAAATTTGTTATAAAGGCCAACCTCCTCAACAACTGTAGTGTTAAAACAATAAATAAAGATAATAAAGCAGAAGGTAATTTCTCTTCTAGGTTTTTTTTTTTTGACTGTAGTTGTTTGCTAATTATTCTACTCTTGCTCGTTTATCTACGGCCAGGCAACTTAGAGAAGGATTGCATAGTTGCGTTTATACTTGCAGATAAACAAGTTAAAAACCCTAGATATTTTAACAGGTTATCATAGCTAGCGTATACCCAGAAAGGCTAAAAACCAAGAAAAAATGTTACAGTGAAAAATTAACTCCCTCTGGCAACAACTGTGTTAAATGCAGTAAAGATCATGTCACGTAGTACTGCCTTAAAGAAAAAAAAAAGATGTAAAGTTAAGATGTGCAAACTGTAATGGCGATCACACTGCAAACTACAGAAAAAGCATCTTTCATTTTAAAAACGCTCCTCTTAAAAAGATTGGGAGAATTGACAGTAAAGAAAATATTGGAGGTTTTTCTATAAAATCAGGAATGAAGGTTATTAATAATTAAATTTCGAAATCAATAGGCGACTTATTCGAGAAACTTAACTATCCGTAATGAATAATGAATACCGCTTAAAAAATATTAGAATTTTATCTTGGAACGCGGATAGCTTAAGAAACAAAAAAGTTAAATTACTTGAAATTGTTACTCGTTATCAAATTGGTATTATTCTCATTTCGGAAACTCAATTGAAAGGATGTAATAGATCCCATTTTCCTAATTATACCGCTTATAGATTTGATCGCACGACCTCGAAAAAAAGGTGGGGCAGCAAATTTCGATACACGTAGCTTAAATAAGCAATCTTTAGCGCTAATAGCAATTGGGATACACATCTTTAGAGAAGAATGGCGAACAATCAGTGACATCGGCTTAGAAGTCCCCGAGTAATAATGAGTAGTACTTAGAATATATATTTGGCTTATCGAGCTCAGTTTTGTAGGCTGGGGTTCTCAAGTGCGAGTACGCCTTTTGGATCAGTCATTGTTCGAATAGAAATAAGAACTCTTAACTAATTGGGCTAATTTATTCGATTCTCTTATTCTATGGCCAGATGACCCAAATCCCATTACACCACGGGGCAGCATTGAGACATTAGGAACTGCAGAATTAAAATATATACGCCACCTCAGGTATTAATTCTATATACAACTTGTTCCCCCTATCACAGCCCAGTTCTTATCGAGCTGGGAGACACTATTTTTCCTGAAAGCTCAATACTATTAAAATAACTTTCTGGTCAATTTTTCAACATTTACTGGACGAAAATCTTAAGAAATATACTTTTCCGCTATCAGAGCTAGGTATCGATCATGCGGTCAGTCATCCAGAATCAACAAATCCGAGGCTTACAATTCTGTCTCCACTCCTAAGCCTTCTAGATCCATCAATTTGTTAACGCCGCCAGCTATTAACGGGTCATTAGAAGGAGACGCTGCTTTATATCAAATTCATGAAGACAGGTTTTTTTATGGGCATAAAGGCTAAAACAAAGTTATTAATTTATTAAATAATTAATTGATAAAACTCTATAACAAACCTTGGGAACAAATGCTAAAATGTTTAAGTCCTGCAGACTTGCCGTTATGGAAATTTAAAGAAGGTCCCTTACCGCAATTTATTAAGCATACCTCCGATATATCATGAATATGGCGTAGCACACACTGCCAGGGTTAAAATTAACGTTTCATCACTTTTCCTCGTTTTCTGAGGGTAACATTACGAACCTAAGAAGAGGGACCTCGGTATGAGGCGACCTCTAACTATAAGTTAGACAGTACTAGTTGCGAAGAAATTATTTAAATAATCAACTCGTTAAAGACCAAAAAGGCTGTGGGTTTAATTAGCCTATCATTTTCGCTAAACGTGTACCTGAAAAAGCGGCTCAAGAACAGACAACAGTATTCTCGTTTTGCGTTCGAGTTTGCAACTTGCGGAACAAGAGCTTATCATACAAACTTAGCGAGTTTCCCCAATTTTTCAAAGGTTCCACAAGCTCTGCCTTATTTGAATATGAGAATAGCTAAAATAAGCAGGCACTGCCAGCATACTACGCGCAGGCTCCTAAATGCTAAAGATAAAAGTTAGTTAGCCTTGCACTTTAATACTCAAGTTATTATTAGTGTTATTTACCAACATATATAGACGGTAAATCCAACCCAATGCTCAAACATTTTGCTACTAACGCTATAGTCTACGTAAACGAGCTTTTTTTTTTAGTTTGATGTTAACTAGATCTTAATTTTCAAATCGTTAAAAGTTAGATGAATTGTTTTTTATTTCCGAATTAAAAAGCAAAGTAGCGGAGGATGTGATACTCGCAAGATTAAAAAATTTTGCGAAAGAATATGACATTATCCAAAAGTGTCCCCGTGAAAAACACTTTAGATATCAACAGATTCTAAGACTTTCATCTGTTTACTTCAGCCTTTAACCATCGAAAATATACGGCAATATTATTTTTAGACAATGAGAAAGCCTTCCATAAAGTTTGGTACAAAGGACTGGTCTATAGGATGGCCAAGGTTAATATTCCTAGGTCTTTAGTCCAGATGACAAAAAATTATTTTATAAATAGAAAATTCAGTCTGTATAAGAACGATTAATTCAATTTTGTTGGATTTAAACGTTAGAGTTCCTCTAAGATCACTTTTATCACTGCTGTTATTCGCGTTTTATATGGCAAAACCCCCAGTCAACTTCCGTATAACTAGCCCAATATGCGGGCCACACAGCTATATTCTGGGGCTCTAAATAGACGGCATTCTCTGGAAACCTGGTTTACTAACTGGAAGATAGCGACCAAATGCTTCTAAAAGTGCAGTGTTGTGATTTAAAGTGAAGAGTTGATATACTAAAGCGCCAAACTCTACATATAATTAAAAGTGCTATACCGTGGAGTCCTCGTGTTACGTACTTGGGAGTTATTAGAGATCACAAGTTAACTTAAAACGATCATATATTAAGGATGTTCTGAGGTCAAGTATGCCCTATACCCATCAATAGGTGTGCGCAGCAAAGCCATTATGCACCCCATTTTAAGGTATGCTTCCGTTACTGGTCCTACCTCTGAACGTCATATAAATAGACTGTAGACTTTTTAAAACAAATGCCTCAGAAATAATCACAGAGACTCCATGGTTCATAAGTAACGCTCAGTTATATCGTTTGTACTTATTGCGACTAACTGCTATAAAGAATACAGCGTATATACCAATAGTTTGATAGCCCCTGCTGTTAGTTATAACCCAAACCGGTATTATGAGAAGGCGGAGAAAACCTAAACACAGTTTAAAATCGCGTTATTATTATAATTATTATTTGATGATAAGTAATCCATATAATAGTGAGGAATATAAACAAACTATTATTTCAATATGCTTAATCAACTTAATTATTATTATAATTCAGTCAATATATATAAGAAAAACAGCATATTATAGTATATTTATATATTATCACCTAAAATATTCTATTATTATTTACTTATCTTACTAACTCGTCTTAAATATTCTTAATAAACGTGGCCTCTTTTTTCTTTGTTCGGTTCGTGCTGTGGACTTTTTTCTTCTTATAACTTGCGCATGGGCTGGTACGGAAAAATGAAGACTCCTCCAGGGGCCGGAATCCTTTTTTATTTCTCTTATAGTTTAAGAGGGGAATAAGAATAAAGCAGCAAAGATGTGCTATGCATATCGACTGCACTATGTCAGTAGAAAAATAAATAATATAATATATATTACTGAAGATTACTGTCAAGTTTTGACTTTTTACTTAAAGAATTGTTACTTTTTCCTTTTTTCCACTTTATTTATCTACGTTTAGTTTTAAAAATAAGTCCCTCTATTTAAGGAGAGTACGAATTTTGACCGCTAACTTATTAGCTGTCAGTAAAGAACTCAGAAGGAAGTTAGATTTGTCAAAAGCCAAACTTAACAAGCAAGAACTTAAAGAAACCCTTTACAGGCTGTTTAGTAGGTAAGAGTTCGAAACGGTGTAATAAAAATGTTCTTTTTCTATTACTGTTAATTCTTCACAGCGCTAGATATTGAGTGTGAGATCTACGCCAAGGAAAGATTGAACTAACAATAAAAGCATTGTGACTTTGCTAAGGTAAGCCTAAAGTAATAACGATATTAATATAATTATGTCACTGGAAAGGGTCACACTCAGCTCGAGCAATTCCAGAGATTCGAATGAGTAGAATAAAAATGCCCGTTAAGCTACAAAAAGTAACGGAAATTTTCCAAAAGTGTTTAAGGCATTGAAAGTATGGCGCAGCATAAATTTCTCATTTCAGCGCTGTCTTATGGCCCTACTAAATTGGTCCGTTAAATTTTTAAAACTTCTAATTGAGGGTTTAAAATAACGTTGATTGCCGCCCTCGAGTGCCCCACGATAAAATATTTAATTGTTAGTTGTATTGAGCACGCAATTAATTATATTACTTCTTCTATTGCAGGTACATAAACGTCTTCCTCTCAGACGGAACAAATTTTGCTATATTCTCTATAATAAAGCGCTCATTAAATATTTAAAGTTCTCTTGTCCCCATTGCTCTGCGATTTAGTGTCTCCTCCAATTTCTTCTTAACTCTATTTCCACGACCTTAATCACCTCGTTTTAGTTTATTTCCCTACGAGCTAGTTGTACGTTCATTGCTTCCGGGCTTAGTGGGAGTTCCTCTTAGCATTAACTTTCTATAACTTTGTTCACACGTTTTCACGCTTTTTATTCTTTATAAAGCATTATAATAGGCTTGATAATAGCGTCAAACGTGTTACGCCGAGTGACTTTGTAACTTCAAGGTATAACCTTTTTACTACAAGGCATGAAGTTATGACTACTTTACTTTTACCCCATCAGAATGTTGGCTCTGAGCAGGATTAAATACCTGAGTACACATTGAAACAGCTCTACAGAAAAACTACAAGCCCCTATGAAAAGGTTTTCAGAAATTGTTAATCTCCAGAACAGAAAGATACATTATCTTCACACCCAGCTATATGAGACACAAGCCAAAGTAAGTCTCTTCACCAATAATTGTCTTGCAAGAGCCATATTTTAACAAAGCTATTTCAGTAAAGGATCCGGAGCCCTTCTCCGCTAATCGGAAACAAATGAAGTACTTCCTGGGTCAACTGTATTTTAACCTTTACGGACCAAATAATTACTACCGTCGAAGAGATAGCACTAGCCGTTCAAGGGTCAGCATCCAAACGGTACCAAAACAAATTTGCACTTCTAGAAAAAGGTACATATTAAAAATTTTTTAATCTGTTAAAATCAAGCTATGGCACCTTTAATAAAGTCAAAGAGGCTGGAAGTTAGTTGTTAACTTTACGGTCAGTAGCAAAAATGTCAACGAATTCAATACTCTATTTAAAGTTTTAGAGCTGAATGAGGTAACACTTAAACAAGTTAACTGAGGGCTCAGTGATAATAAAAGCATCTCCTTGCAAGGACCTCGGACTACCTGAAGAGCTCATAAAACTTAAATAGCTTTGTATCCAAATTGATTATATACTATATGACAGAGAGAAGAGAAGCGCTCCCTTTTCTCCCATGGCAGGTAGGAAACAGCAGGTTTAATATCTTAAAAAAAAAATTCCCATGGAGGTCGTTGGAGTCATTAATTAGACCCTGGACCGCCGGAGATAGGGCGCGCAGACGCAGAAAATTCCTAGAGGGAATTAAGAAACACTGCGGCTTCAAATTCAGCTCCCTTTCTATTTTAATCGATTCGAGATTTATTGAGTGAATAAAGGAGACCGCTAGTAGTAAGCTTCTTAATGATCTTAAAGGAGTTACACCTTTGTACTTACTTTTCACAAAGGATTTCCAAGAAGATACAAAAAAAAAATTTTAAAAAATATATAGAATTTGTAACTGTTACAAAATGCATTGGATGGAAATAATGCAATGTTTAACCTGAAAAAAATTCTAAAAATAGTCTTTTTAAAAGAATTACAGACCAAATTTGATGGGGAAGTAAATATTGTGTAAAAATAATTTTTTTTAAATGTTTAAAGGTGAAATTCAGCGGGAACAGCTTGAACTTGTCTCACAAGAGATCATTATTTACATGAATCCCTTTAACGTTATGCAAAGTGAAAGAGAATAGCGTCACGCAGTATCCAGCAAAGTATAACCACCAGCACTTATAAAAAAAATTGTTTACTTATCAATACCGATTTATACATTGATAAACCGAGACTTTAAAAATTAAATAAATAAAATTATAAATGTATTATAAGAAAAGTTTCTTAATAAGCAAACTACTTTGGTTTCAGTCCTAAGAGAAAGAGGGTGAATCGCTATTAAATATTATTATACCACATAAAGTGTCAGTACAAACGGTAAAAAAAATTAATTTTTTTAATGTTTATATGAAATTAGCACAATTTCTTGAAGTCATAGTTATGATAATATCATTAAGAGTAAAAAATAAATCAACTTATATAATATAGAAAAATAAATAAATTTTTAAATCGATGACCTTTGTTTAGATCTAGCAAACGCTCTTAACCTCGAAGAGTAATTATTACCAATTAGCAGTTTAAAATATTTATGAAAAATAAAATCCAGTTTTATAGCACGTAGTCTTAATAATACTAATTCCAATGCAAAAATACAGGAAATTATAATATAGTTACTTATAAATAGGCAGAGGCAATATACAATAATATAATTCAGCGTAAGAAGAAAAAAAAAAATAGTACAATGCCTCAAAATATTTAATAAAAAATTAACAGATAAAGTGGAAAACATAAAGAGGAAATAACTGAAAACTAAAGTTATAAATTCGCGCCTGAAACGCAGTTAATTTTTAAAGAAAAAAATTATTTGATAAAACAACAATTTAAACAATTGAATGACGGCAGCAAAATAACTAATTAAAAGGGAAAAGTGGCAGAGTTGCACTTTCAAATGGTGGCATTTATATAAAAATGACTTTTCCTGATGCTCGACCAAACTAAGAATTCCAAATACTCTAGCCCTCATTGCACTAAACATTAACAATGATTTGCTGGCTTTTTCAAATCACAAAATGCAGCGCCAAAATTTACTAAGTTGTGATTAAAATTTGGGAAACCCCATTAACTTAGATACAGAATGAACTAGTTAAATGTTAAACTATGACAAGGAGCTTTAGAGTTCCTTGATGCACCGATCGCAAGATCTCTCGAACGTATACCCCTACAACAAATTAGTGGCACCCAACTCTTCTTTTGGAGTTGCGCTAATTGCGACAAGATCTTCTTTTAAAAATGATGACATCTTACATAGAGTCAGGCTCAGATTTCTCGAAATTGTCCGAAGAAATACTGTATATACATAGAGCACGCTGTTCACTAGGGCGTTGTTTCCAGTATGCTTCCAATTTAAGAAAATTTACCTCGCTTTTCTGTTCAGATTTTGTTAAATTTTTTATATTTTCCTCATTCACAGCTTTTATATCCGGATCCTCTATTAAAGAGGCGCTGAACGCCCTAGCCTCTTGCGCTCTCCCTAAATGCATTTTACAGCTACTACTAATTTCATTTTTGTACACACTAAAGGTTAACCCTCGAGGGGCAAATTTTACATGTGTGGAAGGGCTCACGCGCGAAGTTCTTTTTTTCTTTAATTTGTAGTTTTTATTGTGGTGCTTAACTTAATGAAATAAATTATTACAGGTTTCATTAGTTTAGAGTTTATTAAAATTTGTGTGAGGACGCAGTAAAATATATACTAAAGTAAGGATTTTTATTTATTGACCAGTTTCGGTCTGTATTAATACCTTTACAAAAGGTCGAGATACGCCTCCATATAGGTACAGTAAATTTAATTGAACCAGATAAAATTTATTTCGTTAGGTTTGTACCCAATTAATAAGGTAGGCCAAATTGTAATTTTTATGTGTCGAAATTTTGTATTTTTATTTTTTTTGGTTGTCTGTCAAGAATCTGATTGGATTAATCTGGGATAATTTTTCTTGAAAAATTTAGAGGGTGAGTGTTTTGTGTTCGTTTATGCGTTTTATGGTTGTACTTTATACTTAATGTGTTATACATTATGTCTTTGTAATCTATATTTGTTTTTTTATTTGTCTATTGTTTTAATTGAGTCTTAGGTGTTTTGTATACTGTGTTATTGTGATAGAGCTCATTCAAAGGTTTCAATTGTTACTACTATTATTTTTGTATTTACTTTGGGTGTTTTTCGGATAAGGAGTGCCCCTTCATAGCGAAGATGCAGACTATAACAGCGAGTTCTTAGGCTGTGCCGGCTTAATACAGTTTGTCAGCGTTGATCGAAAAGGCCGTATTGGGATTGCCTATAAGAACGGTTTAACATAGATTTGTCCTCATAGCTTTTCATTTGCAGTAAACCAGCTTAAAGCTACTTTAGTTGTGTTATTTGCTCATATTTAAGCGAATTCTATTAATTCATTTAAATTGGGTTCCTCGTGTTTTGCGACCTTAAAAATTAGATTAAGCTAGGGCTATTTATCTAAGTATTTAAACTTTAAACAGAAAACTATAGTAACAGTCATATAGAACTTTATTTTAAATAGTTTATTTGTTTTATACATTAAAAAAAACACATAAACAGGAAAAAAAAGGTGGCACCATACGCTCGCACGAGCCAAGCTAGATTTTACTTATAAGATTTTTTTCGCTTGCTCCATTCTACCTTTTGATAGTTAGAAAAGAAAGTTAAACAAACAAACTTCATCAACAAAAGTCTCATCAACTGCTTTACAATAAACATTTATTTGGGATGTACTTTCCCTTGATGTAGATCAGTATGTATGTCAATTTTGAACCGGATGTAAAAGTCAAATATGGGATGGCATCTCTTGCTAGAAATAAAGAAATATACTTTAAACTATTATTTTGTTTAAGTATTAGCAAGTTACCAGTTATCTTTTATAAAAATTTAAATATTTTGTTCTTTTTAACGAGTTTTTTTAAAAGCTTATTCAATAATTTTGTGTAAAACTAAAATTAAAATAGGCAATTTAGTATCACTATACAAATAAAAAAAAATTTAATAACGTACACTAATCTGTAATAACTTATATTGCAATTTTATTATCAGCATTTTATTAACTATAAAAATTAAACCAAATTTACTGACGTATACTAATATGTTTGTAACTTAATAAATCATTAAAATTGCTAAATATTCCAATACTACTAATAAGAACAGCTGCACAAATATCGGACTTAGTTGAGCATAAAAAAAGTATATAATTTACTTTTAATAATACCAACATTAACACTACTACTTTTGATGGTTAATTAAAAAATAGCTCTAAGTAGGAAAAAAATAAAAAGAACAACTGCTCCACTGTTTTTTACTTAGGGTTTCTGATTTTTTATAATACTTTTACAGAAATAAAAAGTATACCTTTATCTGTATAATAATGAAAGTTTTTCTAAAAAGAAGCGAACAAAGCAGGTGTCACACTTGTACAAGTAATAAACCCTTAAAATATATACAGAAAGTCGAAAACGGTAGATTTCAATTATCATTAGCTAAAATTCATTTAAATCTCTCTTTATTTGTTATTATGAAAAATAGTAAAACAAAATATTATCATAATGAATCTAAAGAACAGCTTTCTATTATTTTGAGCATTGCTTTTGTTATACTTACCGCCGCTCTCACTTTTTACTGCTACATTTTAAAACCAAATAAGATTGACTCAAAACTTGTGAATTCTCTTCAAGCTCTCGGAGATTTTATAGATGTTATTAAGTTTTTCAAATTCTAAAGTTTTTAGTTTATTTATTTCGTACGCTTTTAATTAACAACTTTTGGTTTTCTTTTTATTTACCTTTTTTATTGCATATTAGTATTCCTTGAAGATAAATTTTAAAATTATAGCTGCAAGTAATAATGACGAATGGATTACAATAACTTTGGAAAAGTGCAATAGCTTAAAGCTATCAAAGTTTCTTATAGGGTTAAAAAAAATATTAAATATTTGTTAACCCTAGAGAAGTTTACTTTAAACGTTATTATAAGCTATTTTTTTAGCCAGGGTAATTCAAACTTACTTTATAATTATAAAGGAACTGATAAAGTTAAGCTTTTTATGGTATAAACTTTTTTAATCTAATTTTATTGTGCACACTATAAAGCTGTTGAAAATCCAAACTGGCATAGATTTAGAAATAATTAGTGAATATATAAACTTTAATCAAGATGAAACCTTAAATCAATTCAATCGTCGAATTCTGTATAAACTATTTTTACTTCATCCTTTTTTTTCCATGAAATTTTTATTTCTAAAAGATATAATAATTCTGATGATGAAGTAATATATAAAGTATATATCCTTGAATCGAGTTGGTGCGGTAATAATTTTTAATTATTTGCTTTATTACTTTTTAAACAATAAAGTAATTAATAAATTAATTTTTATAATTTTAAATTTTATTCTTATGTTTCTTGTAAAACTTATGAATCTTTACAGTTATTAATAATATTGATTTTATGTTACACTCTTTTAATATAAAACTTAAAATAAAATTTACTTAGTAAACCCAATTATACGTCACCTACAAATTTTAAAAATCTACACAATTAAATTACGTTAATAACTTTTTTTAAATTCAGTACAAAGTAGATTTTAGCAACTTTTGTTTAATTTTAAATCCCTTTGTTTAAAATTTTTTTGTATATTTCGTTGTAGTGCTATCGATAATGTTTTTAAATTCGTTTATTAAATTTTATATATTTTATATTAACTCTTAATAGTTTTTCAAAATTTAAAAATTGTATAAATTAGAAGTTTTATATAATAATTACTTTTTAATTTTTGAATACTTCTGGTAATAATTTTTTTATTTTTATATAATTTAAAATGATTTTCACGAATAACAATTTATAAAAAATAAACTGAAGGTTATTAATTTATTATATTTTTTATAAACTATTCTATTGGTGTGAATTTTTTATTTTTTATTTTTTGTTAAAAACAGTTTTTTAAGCTGTTTATAATTTTTAAAGAGAACGACATTGAATCAATATAATCTTTTACTTTTTATTATGATTATATAATAAAAAATTTCTTAAAAGATTTAGTATTTTAAATATTTTATACTCGCTTTTTCATTTTTTATAATTTCTAAAAGATATAAGGTGATTATTTTTAAATTATTTTTTTAATATATTAAAAAATCTTTTTAGCATTATTTTTTTTTACTTCCTATTATTAACTTAAAAAAAATTATAACACATTTGAGCTTTAAATTTTTTTTGCATTACATTAATAGTATTATTATTAATTATATTTATCTAATAAGAAAGTTTTTTGTATATAATATTAATATTTAATTAATAGAATTAGTTTTTATCAAATTTTTTACTTGATTGTTTTTTCCCGTGAAAATTGGTTATTGTTATGTGTATGGTCAATAATAATAATTATAAAAAACATTTTCATTTCCTATTTTTACGAAAACACTTTGCTGATTGCTTAATTGATGTTATAAAAATTTTAAAAATCATAAAAACTTTTATTTATTTCTAGAAAAAAAATTATATTTCAGTAAGTTTTTTATTTATTATAATTATTATTACTTTTAACGTAATTAAATAAGTCAATAGTAGTAGATAAAGTTGTATGGACACCAAAAAAGGGTCTAATAATATACACAAGGTAGCAATAAACTTACTTTGATACATTAAAAGTATTTATAGAAGCTTTTTCTAGTTATTCATTATTTTTTAGTATATTTTACTAAAGTTCTGGTTATTATTATTCCTAATCATTAGAAAATGATATTCTTGTCGGGCCTCATCGCCACGTGATCATCAGATATTCAGATAATTGTATTTATGCATATTTTATTTATTACTATTATTAATATTACGAATAAATTTTTTTAAAGTACTCGTAACTAATAAAGAAACCTATATATTATTTTTAAATGTACTTAAAATGTTATTAAAACTTTACTTGTAAATTAAAATTTTTTTCTTAATACAATTTTAATATATTTTTTTATAAGGTTTTATAATTTTTTTATATATTTTTAAAAAATTAAAGTAATAAAAACGATCAAGTAATTGGTAAATAAACTTTTGATTCGATTATTTATATTTAAAATAAAAATTTTATGGAAAATTTAGAATAAAAATTTTTTTTAAAAACTTTTAATATAATTTTGATAAATCTTTAATCAGTAATAAGATTTTTTAATAATAACTTATAATAAATAAACTTTTCATACGATTTTATTATATATATATTATAATCATAAAAGTTAAGAAGTTTATTATTAAAAAAAAACTATTTATACAAATTTTAAAAAATATTCAAACACTAAAAACTTTTAATAAAAAATTATGATAAAATAAACTTTTCATAAAACTTTAATATTTTTAAAGTTATTAAAAAAAAATTTTAAAGTAAAATAAATTATCATTAAAAAGTTTATTGAAAATGCATAATCTATATTAAAAAGTAATAATAAAAGTAGTTATTACCTTTTTTATTAAATATTTTATTATCGTTATTTATTATTTATTATTATTATACAAAAATTGTTAGCCTCTTTACTTCAGCATCGCATTTTAATTGCTTTTTCTTCTCTTCTTCCGGATTTAAGCCCGTCCAGTCCAGTAATAGAAATAAGAAGAATAAGAAAAAAACAACATTCATTGTTTTATTTTGTTATTTTTTCTATTTTTAGATTAACCCAAATAATAAAAATATCATAATGAAAACTTCAGATATTTTGCACGTGACTTGTTCCGTTTTAGTGGGTTGTATTATTATTATTATATTTATAATTAATATTATTATTAATATATTTATCATTCATTTTTTGATTATTAACATTTTATAACATTATTAAGGTGATCCAAATATTTCAGTTGTAAATTGGAATTATACAAAAATTGTAAAAGGTAATGAATTTTAAATATTTAATATTTTTTGGTTATAAAAAATTTTACTATTTATACTAATTTTTTTTAGATTTTTTGGAACCTACTATTGCTCGCCTTGCCCCAACAGAGGAAGTATATATAGACACTCAGGCGCGTTAAAAAAAATGAATTTTTAATGAAATTATATAACTGTCATTATTTTTATAGACAATATTCCACGCTTCTCTGCGGGATAACGTAAATCCCTTTAAAACTTGTAACAAATAATTGTTGCTATAATAATACTATAAAATAATTAAATTTAATAATAAATAGAGAATTAATGCATTTATTAATAATAGTAGTAAATGTAATGAATTAAAATAAATAATAATGTTTGTAATATTTTTAATTAGCCAATGAGAAGTTGAATAAAACGTACTGGTGTATCGAAACTTCGCAGTTGAATAATTTTGTTGACGACCGTAATTGGTCACTAAGTATGTATATTACTATTATTATTATTATTATTATTATTATTATTATTATTATTATTATTATTATTATTATTATTATTATTATTATTATTATTATAATTATTATTATTATTATTATTATTATTATTATTATAATTATTATTATTATTATTATTATTATTATTATTATTATTATTTTATTATTATTATTATTATTATTATTATTATTATCATTATTATTATTATCCTTATTATTATTATTATTATTATTGTTATTATTATTATTATTATTATTATTATTATTATTGTTATTATTATTATTATTATTATTAATTATTATTATTATTACAATAATAACTTCTATGATACAGCGTCTCTCCGTAGTGACGTTGCTTTGAACTTTGTTATATATATTCCTGATCGTCGCATTACACCTCTTCGTATATGCAAAAGAGGTATTCCTTTGTTTATAAATAATTGTATTTATGATAATAAGAAGTAAATCTCTATTATTAATTAATTTGTTATTATAAAAAAAATTATAATTACTTTTTATTTCTTTTTTAATAAATATAACGCAATAATAATGACGACAGTAATAATAAACTTTGATATTAATATAAAATTTTTTTTTTATAAAAATTTAATTTTTTAATATTTATTTGTATTAATAACAGTAATTAATTATTTATTTTACTAAATAAAAAATTAATATTATTTTTTATATTTATAAATAGATTTATTTAAGATTGATAGTAAATTAATATTTCTACTTTATAATATTCTTTATAAAATAATATTATATTAATTTATTAATATTTATATATACAATAAAGTATTAAGATAAATTTTTATTATATTTACTTTATAATATGTATATTAAAAAATTATTTATATATTATTAATCTTTTCAAATTTTTTTTTTTATAATAGTGATAGTAGAACTTTTTCTTACTTTATAACTTAATTTATTAATAATTATAATTATTTATTATATTTAAAAATTTATATAATAAAAATAATAAAGTAAAACTTTAATAATGTAGTTCCTACTTTCTCTTTATAGTATACTTTACAAAAGGAAATATATATTTACTAATACATATATTTATTTAATAATATAAAGTAAAACTTTAATTTTATTTTATTATTTATTTTATTATTAATACTTATTATATATAAAAAATGAATTTATACTTAAAAATAGCATAATAAAATATTTGTGAGATAATAACATTGAAATAAATAATATTATTATAAGAAAAGAATATTACAAAAAAAGGTTAAAAAAAATAAATAAGAATAATAAAAATAATATTATAATGTATTTATGAGATAATAATAATGTTGAAATAAATAATATTATTATAAGAAAAAAATAATAGAAAAAAGTTATGAAAAAAAATAATATAATAAAAAATTTGAGATAGTTACAATGAGTTTGAAAATATTAGTGTAAGTATTTTTATTGCAGTTTATTATAATTATTATTATATAAATTGTACTTTTTATTATTTTTTATTAGCTTCACATCTTATTATGTAGTAAATTTTTTAATGACTTCAGGCCATCCATTAACAGAAGACTCGTTTATTATCCCCCAATGGGGTGGTGTTGTGTTCAGTAGCATGGATAAAAGTTTCAATAAAAATACTGAGAGGTTTGTATTTAGTAGGGAAAATCGGTTTTATCTTCATTAATATATATGATAAATTCTGCACTAAAATTTTTTTTAATTACTTTTTTTTAAAACTCTTTACATTTATTATATTAATATTTTTTAATTTTTATTTTTTCTAGATATATTTATAAACATTATATAAATTATTTATAATAATATTTTTAGTATCACTTTTATTTTACTTTATATTTATAAATTTATTTAGTATTATTTTTTTATTATCTTTTTTATCTTTTATAATAATATTTCGTTATAATTATCGTTTATTTAATTTTTTTACAATAATATTATTTTATTATTATCATTTATTCTTAATGCAATATTTTATATATTTTTATACGTATTTCTCTATATTTTCCTATATATCTTTACATTATTTTTATCCTTTTATAGCAAATTTTTTTTTATATATTTTTATTTTTTTTTACAAAAATTTTTCTTTATATGAATATATTTATTCTTTTACTACAAAATTTATATATATATTTTTATATTTCCTCATATTATCTTTATTATTCTTTATTACAATTTACAATTTATAATTTTTATATAATTATAGTTTTATACTATTTTTATTTATTCTTTTGTTACAATTTTCTTTATATAAGAATATTTTATTTTTTTTTAGAATTATTTAGTTTATATTATTTTTAATTTTTTTACAAAATCTTTTTTCTATTATTCTTTTTATTCTTAATAGCGTTATTCTATATTTTATATTTATTTATTTATATAATATTTATTAAGTATTTTACTATACTATTTTTAAATTTTTATATTTCTATATCCATTTTTTTATTTTTTCTTTTTCATACAATATTACATATGTTATTTATATTTACTTTACTTATAATAATATTTATTGTTATTTTTTTATTTATCTTGTTATAATAATATATTATATTACCTTTATGAACAATATTTTTTTTTATTGTTAATATTTATTTTTATATTTTTATTTAATTTTTTTATTACAATTTATTTTTTTATTAATTATATATTAATATTATTTATATTTCTAAATTTCTTTTTATAAAATAATATTATTTATTATTTTTATTTATTGTTACAATACTTTATATGTTCTTATTTATATTTTTTTATATTACCTTTTATTTAAATTTTATATATATATAATTTTTTTTATGATATTATTTATATTATTTTTATCTATTTTTCTTAATGAAGTTTCTCTTTATATTATTTTTACTTATCCTTTTATAACATTAGTTTACATATTATAATTTATTTTTTTTATATTATATTTTATTCTTTTATGTCAATATTTCATATATTATTTTTAGTTATATTTTTTTAAAAAATATTACTTCATATTATATTTATTTAATATTTTATAACAATATTTCATACATTATTTTTATTTTTTCTAATACTATTTCCTTATATTAATATATAATTTTTTATTTGTTGCAATATTTTGTACATTATTTAATTTTTTATATATTTTTTAACATTATTTTATTTCATTTTTTATAATAATATTTCTATATATTTTTTATATTTATTATATTACAACATTTTATAAATCATTTTTATAATATATATTTTGTCATTATTTTTACCTCACAAATTTTTATTATATCATTTTTATTATATTTCTATTTCTTATTTTTTTTAATATTGTTTTCTTCTTTTAATAATATATTTTTTTCTCATTATTAATTATATCACATATTTTTTAATATTTATTTTATTTTTAATTATTTTTTCCTTAATATTTTCAATATTTTTTGAAAATTTATATATTATTATTTTTATTCCAATTTTTATTAGTAAGTTTATATTAAACTTTTCAGTAGTGTTTATATTAATCTAACTTTTTAGCTATCTTATTAATTTATAATAATCAACAATTTTTGAAAATATTTTTCTTTAAAAAAAATTTTTAACAGTGATTGGCTGAATCTTACACTTGAAGCGAATTCATTGGATATTATCAATTCTGTACTTTTATTTATTTTTTTTTTTTAAAATTTTTTGTGATTTTCTTTTTAGATTTTTGCAAGACAACTTCGTGAATTGTTTGGCATTTCCCGCTTTAAAAGATTACATTCAGTATTATTATTATTATTAGTTAAATACAGCTTTTATTAGTATAATGAATAAATTTTTACATATATAAACGATAGTCGGAATTTAATTTTCTTAAATTTTATTATTATTAAAGTATAATTTTTTTAAGTATTTATTATTTTTTTTATAAACCTTTATATATATAATATACAGTGAAAACATTGTTTTCTTTATTTTATTAGTATTATTATTAGTGAAATATAATTTTTATTTATTCATTTTAATTTATATAAACTTTTTTTAATATAAAATATAGTAAGAATGTAGTTGTATTTATATTATTATTTAAGTAGTTTTATTAGTTCTTATTTTTTAATATAAACTTATTATACTTATAATACAATGAAAATGTTTTTTTGTAAAATATTTATTGAATTCTAAAAACAGACCACTTACGTTGATGCTCCCGAATATTACATCAATACGTGGTAAAATATAATAATCCTTATAGTTTTGCATATTTTATAGTCATAATTATTATCATAAGTTTTATATATTTTTAAATGATAATATTTTGTTCCTACTGATTATCAACTATTATTTATTTACATAAAATGTATGGAGTAACTATTATTAATTACTTAAATAAGTTTAAAACTAATAATAAATTTGAGATATTTAAAAAAAGGAAAAAGTATAATAAATAAATAATTTGTATATAATCTTGTAGAAGTGTGAAAATTTAAAAAAAATTATTTATAATTATAATAAATAAAAATAAAAACAAATAATTATAATAGTTTATAACTGAAGCAAGCCCAATGAAAATTTTATACAAAATTTATTCGTACTTTGATTGGGTATAATTATATTATGAAAAATTAATGTAAATAATAAAAAATAATAATAATTAACCAAAAAACTAATTATTTTTTATTTTACTGGAATTGTTGTGAATTTATATATAATCAAAATGATAATAAATAAAGAAGAATAACTAATGAATGTAGTAAAAATTTATTCGTAATATTATTTGTTGTTAAAAATAAATAATAAATGAATAATTATAATAAAAATGAATGATAATGAAAACTAACGGAAAACTAATAAATAAATTGTTATTCGCACTTTTATCAGCTGTACTATAAAAATGTCAATATATTATAATATAAAAATAATAATTTACACCAGTTATAAAAAATTAATAAGTATATTTAAATATAATTATTAGTACTTTTATTCGTTTGCATAATAATAATAAAAGTTACTTTTAATATAAAAATAAGAAAATAATAACTAACAAAATTGAAAAACTACAAATGTAATTAATAAGTTATTCGTACTTTTCTTGGTTATAAACGTAAACCAGAAATTAATATAAATATAAATTATTTGTATTGGTTGTAAAAGAAAAAATACCATAATTTTTATGTATATGAACGTAAAAAATAATAATATATAGTAAATTTTAAAAGTATATCTTAATCGTATGGCTCCAAATTGTAATACAAAAAATAATTATAATTAAAAAAATAACTTGAAAACAATAGCAGAGAATTTTAATTATTCGCTATTCACTGGTTGTAAAAAAAATATATATATAAATAATAAAAATAAAAAGTAATGATAATATTAAAAATCAAAAGGAAATAATAAAAGTTATAAATAATTTATTCATAATGTTATTGGTTGAAAAATGTATAAAAAAGTTTCAACAAGTAATAATAACTTTATCATATTCATTAAAAACTTCAAAGGGAAGCTGACATTGTACAACGAAGAAAAAACTTGGAAAATATTTGGCGCACAAAGTCTTATCTTTCTTCATTATTTACTTTGAATGAATTCATCCCAAATTTTGTTGAGGAAGACATTAGCGACCACGTGAGTTCCAGAAACTTCATTATTTTTATAATATTTCATAATTATCTTTAGCAGTTTTTTACTTCTTTATTAGTTTATATGTATATTGTTATTATTATTTATAACATTATTATATGTACCTCTAAAATAATTGAAATCTTGTAACATTTTTGAAAAACAATGTCAATGTGTGTTGACGCTTCCTTTTTAAAAACGAAGTTAAAAAAATTTATACTATATAGGGTTCTATTTTATTATAATACTTTTAAAATTAAGTCATGAGAAATTAATTATAAATGTTTTTTTTATAAAAAGCGCGCACCTTATCTTTAAAACCAGGTCAATTTTTTTTAATCACTTACAAAAAATATATCGAGTGAACCACAGAAAAGGCATAGAGTTTGCTAAAGTAGTGAAACATAAACTTGATAATAGTTATAAACCACCAGTTTATAAAAGCAAATGTGAGGAGCTAAAGGATTTGTGTACAGTAACGAAGAAAACTTTTTTTAATAAGCAGTTCTGCACATAAAATTAGTTAAAAACTTTCACCATTTAAAAAGAATTTATGATTAAAAATCTTAAACATTTCTAAATTTTTATATATGTGATATAAACCAAATAAAGACAATCCTAATTTTTAGTGGTTTTATTATGGAATTGTTTTTTTAATAATGTAAGAAGCTAGAATTAGAAAAATTACTTCAAGACTATAGTAGAGCTAATTTGCAGAAGTTTGAAATATATTGGATTTTAGCAATATCACTCGGCCTTAAAAAAAATCAAAATAAAAAAAGTAGCAAATATTAGTCCACTGAAAACTATTATATGTATGAAACTTATAAAAAAATTATACAATACTTTTACCAAGAAAACTATGATAATATATAAAACAAAAATATCTATAATACTTTTTGAAAATAATAACTTTATATATATAAAAAACTTGTAATAGTCATTATAGTTTATTATATAAACTTAATAAATATACAATACTTTTTAAAAGTAACCAATATATATATATAAAACTAATAGCCATTATTATTTTAAGTTGGAATTTTAAAAAATATATATTAAAATAACTACTTTATATGTAAAACTTATAAATAAATATACAACGATTAAACCTAGACTAAGCCAACTATATTTGATTAAAAAAAGAACTAAAAATAATAATGAAGTAAAAAATAGTGAAAGTTATAAATTTTTTAATTAAAATTAATTAAGAATCCATAACTTTATCAACCCAAAATATCAATTTACGATTTATGTTTGTTTTTATTATTATTTTAATTTAACGAGTAGAAACATGTTTTTATCTCTGATTATTATTTTATTTATAGTAATATTTGAAAGTTAGTAACCTTTTTGGATATTTAAAGAAAAAAACCAGAATTTTTAACTCAAAATATACAGCTATTTATGTTTATGATTTTATTATTATTCTAATTTATTGAGTCATAAATATATTACTATTTAGTATTTGATTTAATATCAATTTTTTTTTAAGTATAAGTTTCTTCTCTGTTTTGCTCATTTTTAAGTGTGAACTTCTCCGTCTCATTAAAGTTTAAAGCAGCTTAAATTGATAACTGTAATTGCCCATAGCAAGTATTTTTTGTATTTTTGTAAATTCCCAATCCGGTTTCACTCTTTACTACTTATTTCTATTGAGGCCCTTTATTTTTTCCGCGTGAGAACAATTAATTTATAAAACACAAGAGTTAGGAACCAGAAAAGTAAATTTTCAAGATAAAAAGAATGAAATCGTTACTTGCTAGCAAAGTAAGCAAAGCATATTAGTTCAAAATCATTAGAAAATTTAAATTCAAAATATTTTTTTTAGAATTGATAAAAAATAGCTTTACTAATTATTTATTTAAAATGTGCTGTTAGCCAAAACGTATTTTACTGCAACTTCCTCAGTATTATTATTATTTATTATTATTATTATTGAATAATAAAGTTCATGATACTTATTTACTTAATTTAAAAGAAATTATCTCAAAGTAATTCAATTAATATTATATAATTTTTATTATTAAACCATTACTTTTTTTATAAGAGAGAAGTATAAAGGCATGCCCTAGCTAAGACTTAGCACCAATTTTTTTTATACTTGATGAATAGATAAAATCATATAAGTTTCTCAAATTTTTTTAACTGTTATTATTATTACTTTTATTATCTATTTTATTATTTTTTTATAATTTTAAAATTATAAATTTATATTAATTATGATTTTACACGAGCAGATAACAAAAAGTTTGTCTTTTTTGAATAGCTCAATAGAATACTTAGGTTACAGTAGCTTTGTAAAAGCTCTCAATGGTAATTATTATACTCTTTTTTATTAAATTTTTTAAAAAAAATAACTAAATAACGAAATTAATTGAGTTTAGTTGTCAAACGCACTTCTCTATTAGTTATTACTGGAAAAATAAGTTCCTATTATGCTACTAATTAGCTTTTCTCATAGTTTAGTTAATTGTTTATTATAAAATGTATTATAAATAGCATCCCAAGAAGCTCTTAAATTTGCTAAGCAAGCAACTTTCCAGCCTTCTTTAAAAAAAAAATTCCACTTAGTAGAACTAAACTTACATCTAGTTATTTCTCCTCTTTTAGGTTTGTCGTATATGTTATTATTATTACTTAAAGTTATTATCTCTTTTTTTTTTTCTAATATTTTAAGTGTTTGATCTTTCCTCTATTATAATGTATAATTATATAAAAGTCCCAATCATCGCCTCCACGGTATCATCGCTTTTCAAAATTTTATTAAAATTTAAGAGATAGCAATGAAGATACATGTTAAACCGAAAGGGCTTGAACTTTTTTTTTTATATTGTAATTATTATAACAATAAAAATTTCACAATATTTTTTATAAATTTTAAATTTTATAATAAAATACTCTTGAATTTGTACATATAATGAATAAATTTAAACTATAATTAAAATTCAGTAGTCGAGCTAAAGTCTTTAGAGTTGCGTAATAACTTTTATACCTCCAAAAATACTAAGCAAACATAAGTTAAGGGAAAGTGTTTTGCGCTTTATTAGTAGAAGTCTTTTTTATTAGCTAATCAATACCAAAAATATATTATAATGCTCTGAAAAGTTAAAATTAACACGTGAGCATGTTTATATATACATTCATCCAAAGTTAATTGATAAACGAAGTTAAGAAGTTCCTATTAAAGCTTATAATAGATTGCTTAGCTCTAACTTTATTTTAACATTACATGGTTATACCCATACTAAAAGACTTTTCATCTTAACTTTTTAATATTAAAAGAACTAAACGTTCGCTAAAAATATTTTTTCCTTTTAACTATAAAGGAGTTGAAGCCCAGAAAAAAGGCAATGCGGGATGGGTAGCGACAGATATTTTAATTTACCAATTTTCGGTCTTTTTGAACATTAATATCTATAAAAAAGACAAAACTACTTATAAAATGTCAAATATTAACGGTTGTTAACAATCAAAGTTGGAAAAAAAAATTAAAAATCTGGAGAACCCCTATTTAAAAATATAATATTATACTTCTTGGCTGGTTCAGATAGCACTTTTATTTTTACGGAATTCTTAATGGCTTGGCAACTTTATACAGCTGGAGGCAATGGTTTCTTAATTTTTTTCCGACTTTTGTTATTATAAAAATTTTAACTACTGAGTTGACAGATCAGTCATTATTTCTATTAAACCTAAACTCTGATTAAATAATTTTTAAAGGGAAAGGTTTATTAATTTAATCTTCAATTATATTTTAATTACGCATTGTCCCTAATTTTTAAGGAGGTTTAGACTGGTATTTACCGAATGTTACAGTATTTTCTATTTCTGTCCGCTGTCCGTTAAGAAATTCAGTTAGTGAAACATATAACAAAACCGCATAAGTTATAAAAGTGTCATTTTTGATATTTTAAGTTTTTTAATTTTAAACCTTTTATAACTTAGTATCCGATGAGTGAGTAACAGTTTTTTTGAACTTTTATATATTTTTTTCTCCTGTTAACCTTCAACTGCCTTGGTAAGATTTTCAGCGGGTGTTCTGCACAATTACATCTACATTTGATTCCTTAGTTTAACCACCAACTTTTTATAATTTTTAAGTGTTATTTTAGTATTTGTTTACATTGACGGATTCTTGTTTGAAAAAACGAGCGACCCCCAAAGTGGAAATGAAGAGCAACAATAAAAGTTAGCATACGCTTTTTTCATGCCTTTTGTTAGTGAAGTCTACAACCTTCAAATAGTTTAGGCTTTCTAGTCGCAACTTTTATCAATAGTAGTCGTCACTTTAGCTTTTACAGAAAAGGGAATAATAAATTATGTTACATTTTTTGTATTAGATTTTTGAAACATTCTTAATATATTGAGAGGTTTAAATGTTCGGTTCACTTTTTAACCTTTCTGGTTGTTAGAACACAGTACGGTCGCCAACCCTCATACTAAGCAAGTTCCTACTGAGCTTTCCTTTAAAAATCTTTACAACTTTTAGAGTTTTTGAGGTGGATTATAGAAAATTTTTTCACCTCTGTGAGAAGGTCTCAAGTGACTTTTGCTGTTAATATCTCAAATGTATCGACATTGCCTGCTATAGTAACCACCACCATTTAGAAAAAGATCGAAACCCTTCAGATAGGGGCAGCATGCGAAAAGCATTTCTTTGTACCTTTATTAGGACTTGTTTCCTTAGTACTAATTTTTTGTCCCTTAAAGCGGCGTACCATTCATGGCGCGGTGAAAAATCTAACACTCTTTTTTGCACGCTATTCGCTATAATAACTAAATCTAGGCGAGCACAATCGAAAACAATAATAATTTTTGAAAAAAGTTAGGATAAATATTAAAACTACAAATAAAAACACTTATTGTTGTCGTTGTTTCTCATTTTTTACTTCCCCTTTTTTATCTCCTTTACGTATTCCTTTATCTATTACATATTATCGCATTACAAAACAAAATAATTAGCATTTTACAAAACGAAACCCTTTATAGTAACATATAGGCCTACTAAAGACTAAGAAGAAGGCAACTCTAGCCATAGCTAAAGCTTATTAACTATTTTAATTATATATTAGAAGACTTCACAATAAGGCCCTTATAAAAAAGAAAAACTTATATATTTAGATTTTCAAGTAACAGTACGGGCATTGTTTTTTCCTGTAAGTAGTAGATTTGAATTTTTTGCAATGTGTAGTATTTCAAACACTATTCATTGAGCGGTCTTATTTTGCAGTTCGTCTTAAAAAGAGAAAACAAAATCTCTTAAATTACATTTTAATGCCGGATATGGAAACATTACATTTTGTTAATTGGTCTTCACTTTAGTATTTTTATAATCATAGATGGAACTTAAACTTACCATTATGAATGTTACTCCTATTATTAATATTAATATATTTCATAATAGTACCAAAAAAAAAATTTCTATTGCTATTTACGGTATCTGAACAATATATATTATTATACTGTTCTTACATACTACAGTCAGTGCTATTATTATTACAACTATTATCAATTTTGTCACTATTATAACCTCTCCTATAAGGAGTGAAAAGATATTAATTTTAATTTCATAATAATTAATCGAATAGCCTATTATTTTAGCACTGGGTTAATATAGCCGGTCCCTCAAACGAATTAGAATTTCGTAAACTTCTTTTTTACTCCGAGTAGGGTTTGAGGAATGCCTACCATCGTGTATCCTTCCGAAACAAATAATGGCTATTCCAAAAAGTTAAGAAACCGCTTTATTACATAAAGTTGAGATTAATATCTACCTGTAATTAAAACAAGTTTACCTGCACAAAAAGTTTACGAATTTAAGATAGTGCTCGTTTAAATGGTTATATTGCTATTAGTCCTCACTCCCTTAAATAGTGGGTTTAGCGCATACTGTAAGACATTTAATGGTAAATTTTTCATTTAGTAGGTACTTTAGAATTTATTGCATTAGCAACTAGTTAAAAGGTTAGCTTTCTTAGTATTCTTGTATGGCTACAAAGAAAATACAAAATAATGTTTTAAAACTGTAAAGCTACATTCTTAAGTAACCTTTAGGTGAGACCTGATAAATATATATGAAATATTCAAAATTGTGGTTAATCTGGATTGTTTGAATGATTTTATAGGTATGCTATTTTTTAAATCAATGTTATAAAAAGTACTTCTATATATTCAAAAATCTTCAAGAGATTGTGATATACTTATCAATGTAAACGCACTTATAAACAACAAAAATTTTAAGTTTACAAGTGTCTGTCATTTTGACTTTTTTATAATGAGCTGAGTAGATATTTGATTTTTAAAAGCAAAATAAGAAGAACAAGCGTATGCTAATAATTCCACTTTTTATATTTTAGGGCTTAATAAAAATACAACTGTTCTTTCTTAAGAAAATAATATATTATATATAAAAATGGGACTTGCATTAGCGATGGCCACTTATTGATAAGAATTATACATACCGGGTCCCGTACCTTTACCTTAATTTATTAAAAAGTCAGTATATAAAAATTACCAAGCTACGGTTAAAGGGGGTCTTTCCATCCTAGTGGCGGATACTTTGCCCCTCTTCGAGGTTCGGTTCCGAAAAATGACGGATCAAGATGAAGAGAACTTAAGTTCTATAAAGTACTTTTCGAAATTTCAAAGTGACACTAATTTAGATAATGGGATAAATGCGCGATGGGCATCATATAACTTAAAAAATAAACTCGACATGACTGACTAGATTCCCTACGAACTCTTGACCATTATCTTAACTACCTTAGTTAACTGTGCGCGGCTCTAGTCTTCAAGTTTTATTTATTAGGTATGATAATGGGAATAATAAATTAGATATTTTTCATAGGGAATAACTAGGTAAAAGCACTGTTATATTCTGGTGTTCAAATTACCGCAATACGCAAAATTGTACCAGAGCTGCCACCTTAATTCAAATGAGGAGACAGGTGTACAACAATTAGTTTTCCTGATCAATGCTAAAGGTGAAGTGGTTACTCCTGAGCTAATATTGAAAAGGTCTGAAAACACATGGCTTCTCATTGAGTTCTTACTTTTATTCGGAACACGGGGATTTTTATTATAATTTTAATATTAGCTGGAAAATCTTGCGGATTTGTTAGCAAATTACCAAGTGCTGGCCATAGCGTTTAAACCAAATAAACTTTTTAGCAATGACTAAAATAATGGTTGAGGCCAAAGAGTATTATTAGTTTTTTAAAGTTTTTAAAGTAACTTGAAGTTGCTATGTAGTCCCTTGCAGCTCAACACCACGATGTTAGATTTTCCGGGATTTACCAACGTTAACGACGAGGACTATCTCGCTGTCAATAATTTTGTGGAGAGGTACTAAGTAAATTACAATATTTGATCTCCTAAATTTACAAATATAACCCCTTTGTACGAGATACGCAATGAGCGTGCTCACAGAAAGATGAAAGATAAGTGTAAGCGACCTTTCCTCGCCAAAATGACACGGAAATCCGTTGGAAAGCGCTTTTGTTTTTTACCGGGTTTTAATTATCTAAAAAGAGGGTGGAAAATGCCATGAATAACTTCTAAACAAAGCATAATATTATTCATCATTACACATTGCTCGGACAGCCTCGCGTTCGAGTTTGATCTTCGCTACTTGCAATGAAAGAAAGCTTGAACTGGCAGTTAACCAAACTCGCCAAGGAGTCATCCAAAGGTCGAAAGGATCTGCTTGATTACCGATTCTAATAGATAACTTCGACGAACAATACCCGTAAACTGCGCGCAAGTATTTCAGATTAAGACTGTAAGGTAGTTAATCTCACCCCTGAATTCTCAAGACGCTACATAAGTCAGTCGGTCGAGTCATACGCTTCTCGTCCAGAAGCATGAAGGAGCTAGTTTAAGGAATTCTTCACCTTAAGAGATAGGGAAGATGACAACTAGCTCTGAACTCTGGACAACTCGTATTTTTTGCCTTGTTTAAGGGTATATCTTTTAATACGTGCGCAAAGCAATTTTAAAACTCTCCGAAGGCGCCCTAATCTCGCTTTTTTGGTTCGAAATCAGAATTTCTTTCAACTATTAAATCGGACGCAAACAAGACAGAGGGCGAGGAAAGATCGCCTAAGTCTACATTAATACACAATTGCATCTCCGAAAGGCCCCTATAGCCAAATAGGCAAGATCTGTTAGAGATATGCCGTAGCAGTTTCGCCTCAATGAAGTTATATTTTAACTAGCTGTTCACATTTTTAACTAATAAAGTTCCACTTTAGTAGAACAAAACTTACTAACTAGTACTCTAGAAATGATAGCTAACCAGCTTGTTCTACCAAAGTAATACGAGAAAAAAAAGAGTAGGTTAATATCATTTCATCATATATCCATCTAAACAAATGAACACTTTTTTATTTTTGATAGCTTTTTAGACTTATATTTTATAATTATTTTTATATTAGTATATAAGTATTATTATTTATAACTAATTCTAAAGATCCACAGAGAAAAGTTTTAGCGAGTGATCATCTGAAGAAGTCATTAAAAGGCCGTCAGAATAGTTCAAAGCCAAAATAGCATCAGAATGTCCTTATAGAAAATTATGAAATCTTTTCATATATATAAAATATATATAAACCGTGAAATTCTAATAGGCAGCAGCCACCACGTGCATCCCAGCAACGTGCAATGGCATCCAGACACGCGGTGAAGACAAAGGAAAGCGAAGGATGCCAAACAGAAACAACAACTCCTTCCTACGCGTGTAGAAATATTAATAGACGAACTTTTTTTGCAAAAAGATTAATAATTTATAAGAGAAGTAAAAATAATTATAATAAAAGTGAAGTAAGACCGGATGCGAGAGAGAATAGTGAAGAGTAAAATTTAAAACATTCCAAATTTTTAAAGATCCGTCTAACGAGCCCGATGATAATAATTCAAATCTTTATAAGTTAAAAGTTATATAGTTTAACAAATTAATAATAAAAACTATAAAATAAAAATAGCAATTATTATAGAGGTTTTTAAAAACTATAAAAATAGCAATAGATACATAAAAGTTTAAACTTTATTATAAAGTAATCAAAAACAAGGAATATAAATTGCGAAAACACAAAATGCTGATCAAGGAAGGTTAAATTTTATTGGTCAATTATAGATTAAAGGCGCCAATCAAATTTACTTTACTTTACGAGTAATAAAAAAATAGTTTAAATTAAAAAATTAATTATGAGATAATTGTTATTAAGAATATAAAAAACAAATTGAGTTTATTAAAATTATTTCTAAGTCTTTTTTAAAATTTTTACATGAAGACTTTTATTATGCATTATATAAATGAAAGCATTAACCTAAATAGAATTTATTTTATCTGTTAAGATAATTAATCGCAATAATAATACAAAAATTTTTATAAAAAACGAAACAATATAATATTAATGACGAAGCTAAAAGGCTTTTATACTATATATATTATAAAAAATAAATAATTTTTTATGAACTCTTTAATAGTTAACCTGTTTACCCAACAAATTTATAATTAATATAATTGGATTTCATTATTATCAATATTTTAGCGTGAAGTAATACTTCCTTTAAAATTTTCATCAATCAGATATAATATTATCTACAAACTTTCATTATTGAAAAATCTCTTCAAAAACATCCCGAGCACCTCGTACTTAGGAGTCTGCCTGTTCGCTTTAATTCGTTGTTTCTCCAGAGACTCTCGAGGACTTTTTTGCCCGACAAATTTAAAATAATTTAATGGGTTTATACATTAAACCTATATAAGCGTGAAGTAAAATTGCGTCATATGCGTCATATTTATTTTTAATAAAAATTTTCAATCAAAAAATACTCTTAAAGTTCACATGTTTACTCACTAATTCTTATAGTTAACTTATTTGGTTAATATATTATTATAAATATTAAAGCGTAAAGTAAATTTTGCGTCACTATTTATAATGTTCAACTCGTTACCTAATAAATTTATAACTAATATTTTGGATTAAACCATTATTATAAATATTAAAGCTTAAATTTATTACTTACAGAAAATTTTCTTTGAAACTTTATAATATTATATAAATAGAAATTAAAATATTTACTTTATTATTTAAAAATTTAAAAAATTAAAGTTAAAAAAAATAAAATAATAGTTAAAAGTAGTATATGATTTTGAAATAATTAATTAAAATTAAATAATAATAATAATAATAATAATAAAATTTCATTCATAATAATTCAGGATTTTATAAAACGTTCTTTTGGATAATAAAATTTGAAAACTTTTTAAAATAAGTATAAGCAAACTTACAAAAATATTTTAAATACTATTGGTTAAAAATTTCAGTCAAAGGTTCAATTCTTTAAAGAAAATATTTTATAAAATAACAATTATATATAATATTGTAATATGCGAGATACTTTTAATAAAATATAAATAATTTTAATAAATTATTATTCATTTATTGGTAATATAATTTTAAAAGATAATAAATAAAAAAAATTTATAAAAAATATTTTGGAAAATAGTACTAAACAGTTTTCAATTTTACAATAATAAAAAGTTAAGAGTAGTTAAACTTAAAGCAATAAAAAAATATTAATAATAGTGTTTATAAAGAACTAGTATAATATTATAATACGCGATTAATATTTTATTTAAAAATAAATATATTTATAAAATTATTATAACATTTTTTATTCAAGATTTTATCCAATAATTAAAAAATATAATAGGAAATAACCTTAAAATAAAAAATTATATTATATTTCATAATCTTTATTGGTCTTATTGCCATCCAAAAGTAGTAAAAAAAATTAAATAAAAGTAACTTTAAAAGTACTATAAAATAAAAATAAAAAAAAGTAATAAAGAAGTTATAAAAATATAAATTTGTGAAGATAAAAAATAATAAATTCTCTAAAATAAAAATTTTTTTAAAAACTACCCAAAAAATAAAAAATAATAAAATATATGAAAGTAAGATAATAAATTTCCTGAAAAAAAAAATTCAAACAAACTGTAAAAACTAAAAAAGTAAAGGATTTTTTGTAATATTTTAAAGAATAAAAAAAAATTATAATACTAAAAGTTAACAGAAAATAATTAAAAACCAAAAAAAATTACTAACTCATAAAATTAGATATGTATGTACTAACGAAGCACAATACTTGAAATTAAGAAAAAAAATACATCCCAAAAATATGTTTCTATTGGTTATATTTAATTTAAATAGACCAATAATATAAAAAATAAAACGATATTTAGCAAATAAATTTTATAAAATAACCTAATAAGTATTTGTTTTAAATTATTTTATACAATAATATTTAAAAAAAACAAAGTTTTTAAAGAAAATAATATTTTAAGAAAAGTATATAATAATAATAATAATAATAATAATAATAATAATAATAATAATATATAAACTTTTCATTAGAAAATGAAAGACATTCCACGCTTTCAGAATGAGCGCCCTCCAAACTGGACACTACTTTTCCAGAATTTATATGAATAATCTTTTTAAAGGAAAAAAAATTATTTGATAATAAAAAATATGAAAGGAAAGTATATCAGTAAAAAAAGTGAACTTTCACATCGCCAACTTCGTCGCCAATAGCAACGAACTGAGAATTTGTGGACCAATCCATGGAGATAATAGAAGCGGTGGAGCTCCAATTAGGGCTTCCTAGAATTTTTTTTATTATTATAAAAAATGAATTGCTCTAAAATAATTTTTATAAATAATAAATAATAATAAGAAATAAAGTAAAAATATAATTATAATATCATTAAAAAAGGGAGGAATCAAAAATGCATATAACAAAATTTTTATATTGAATATAAACAAAAATATTAATTGTATAAAATAATAATAAAAGTTAAAGTTTTTATAAAGTAGTGTATAAAATTTACTTGCTACTATTAGTAGTGTTATAAAAAAATAAAAACTTTCTAATAATATAATATCATTAGTATCAATATAGCTTTCGTTAAAAACTCTCTATAACTTTAAAATTATTAGTATAATAAAAAATTCATAAAATAATAATAAATAATAAAGTTTTAATGAAACAGTTTATTATATTTACTTGCTATTATAATTTCCGAACGAAAAAATTTTTAATAACTTTAATATTATTAGTATCAAGATAAATTTTAAATCATAAAGTTTTTACGTTTACTTGCTATTATATTATTATTAATATCAAACAATAAAAACAATAAATTTCATATATTACTTTTTTTAAAAATTATAAATATGTTATTATTGTAAACGTATACTTGATTAGTACTTTCCTCATTACTTATAATGACTTTCTCTTAACTTATTAATATTTTTAATAACTTTAAAAAATAAGTTATTCGTATTATTATAACTTTGAATAAAAAAATCTAAAGCAAAACAAAACTTTTCTATATAATAAACTCATGACAACTTTTATTTTTTATTACTAATAAACTTTTTAAATATTAAAATAACTTTATAAAACCTAAGTTTAGATAATTTTATACAACTCTTAAATAAAAACTAAAATAAATTATTTATTATTATCATTATTATTACTACATCTTTATTTGTAAAAACTTTTATTTATGATTACTAATTATATGAAATTTTAATAAGAAATTTTTATTTATTATTATAACAGATTTTTCTTTATAAACTTTTTTCAGAATTTTTAATATTTAAAATATTTAAAACTTTTGTTTACTATATTATCTAAAGTTTTTCGTTATAAAACTTTAGTAATTACTATAATTATTACAACTATTTTTATAAAACTTTTATTTAATATTATTACTATTACAAATTTTATATATAATACTTAATCACTATTTTTATTTATTATTACAGTTCATATATAATACTTAAAAGTACTTTTACTTATTAATATTATTAATAATACGACTAAGAAAAACTGATACTTTTCTTTATTAGTACTGATACAATTTTTTATAATTATATTAACTTTTTTATTTATTATTATTATTAATAACACAACTTTTATATAAAAAAACTGATACTTTTAATTATTATACAACTTTTATAATACTTCATATACTAAAACTTTTACTTATTTATTATAACAACAGATAAATTTCACTTATGATTATTATTTCAAGTTTAATATACAAAGTATAATAAATTTCTATTATTTTTACTACTTCTACAAAACGACTTATAACTTTATTATTATTATTTGCATAAGAAAAGTTATAATTATAAATTTATTATTATCACAATTTTAATAAAATAATATTAACTTTTAATTATTATTAATACAATTTTTTATTGTAAAAAAAAACCACCTATATTACATAATAATATATACAAACTTTAACTTATTATTATTGTTATAAAACTTTTACAGAAGAACTTTTAAAGCCTTTCACTTACAATTATAAAAAATTTTGTATATAAACACTTTCAATATCTTTTATTAATTATTATTATAATTTTATATAACTTTAAAACTTTTATTTATAATAATTATTATCATAACTTATATAAAAATTTTTACTTATAATTATTATCACAACTTTCATATAAGAAACTAATAATTACTTTTACTTATTATAATTATTATTATTATAAATATTATAAAATAAAAAATTTTACCTTTACAAAACTTAAATTTTGGCGTGCCCGTTTTTGGATTCCAAACCAATAAAGTTCCGTCGCTTCCGCCAGTAACAATCAACTTTCCTTCGTAAAAGTATAATAATAAAATAAAAAATTTTAATTTATATTATAAAAAGTTATAAATAATAAAATAATATTATAATTGATTTATAAATAATAAAGAAATATATTACATAAAATAAAAAAATTATTAAAAACAAATAATAATAATTTTCCTTTAAAAAAAAGTTAAAAATATGAAAATATAATTAAATTAAA